TTGAGGCGTCAGTTTTCTTGATGGACTCGTAATCATGAGGTGGCAGGTTCGGGGGTTCGAGCCGCCGGCCCGACGCTGTATTCTTAGGGAAAGGCTCTTTACACGCATGTTCCTCACTTCACCCAGGTGGGAACGGTTGCCCGGCCGTATACAGCGAAAACTATTGTAATAAGTTAGTGTTATAGCGCCTTTACAATGGCAGTTTGCATTTTATACTCCCGGGTAGTTGAGATTGTATCAGGATGCTATCAGGTCTGCTGGGGTAGTACATTGTAATACAGATTGTCAAGTGCATAGGGCAGGGCTTGCTGTTGGGCGGGAATTAGCGCTATGCATTTGCTGTTTGTTATAAGTTATTATTATTACTATTATAATAATTACATGTATTACTCATATTTTGGCGCTCATATAACCTTATGAAGTTGCCAGCGCCGTAAAACCTCTACTAAAACTAAAACTCGTATTTGCAAAATCATCGTTTTGATGTTTACAAAGGTAAAAATGCTTAGAAAGATCAAACGGCGTACGTCTCGGTTTTGTGTGTGTGTGGGGGGGGGGGGGTAATTTTCTTTCAACAGACAAACAGAACCGTGAACCTCCTACTGGGTAAAGAATGCGTTGTATTCCCCCAAAATCAAAGGAGTCATCATGCGCGCGAGCGCGGTGCCGATTAATAAAAGAACAGTGAGTCCAGACAGAGGATATAAAGGGTTGACTGGAGGTCATGACTCCGCTGTCTGGTGACCGAGTTCTCGATACAACACCAACACAACCTGTCACTTAAAGGTACATCGACGGAAAAATTACTGCGTAATAGCGAAGGTGAGGGGGGATATCAACTGTTACTACTGACAAGCAAACTTTGCTAGTTTGTCTGAGTAACGAGAAGCTCATCGACACAATAACGGTCATTTAATGCTGGAGAAAAGTAAGACAGACAGACAGACACAAGAGAGGGAAAGCAAAGAAGTAGGACCCTAGTACCGGTGACGCCCTCCAACCACCCGCAGCGCCATAAGCCCGCACACACTACTAGGATTCACTATCATCACTAGTTTGTCGGTCCTTTGCTGATGCAACAATCTCATAGGTTGTACGCAGTTTCTGTGCTTGTTACTGTAACCTCTTTGGCTTGTTGGCATACATTATCCCTCGTGGATTTGTGGCTGCACAGATGTCGCTGGTATTACGGCTGAAATCAGTGCTGCCCACATAGCTAATGTGGTGCCAGTCCACATGGCGGTCTACCTGCCTGGTTGACTTCGGTCTACATAATAATATGCCGTGTCAATTGAATACGGTTTAGTTTAGTTTTAGTACGTGACAGTTTTACGGCACTTGCAGCACAATAAGGTCACATAAGTCACTCCACAGCACCAACCAAACAACTACTGTGAAGTTTTAAATTAAATGGACAAGGAATGAGATATGGGGATAGAGTTAAGATGCAGACACTAAGAGACAAGATTCGTCTGTTCGATTTAAGAGAAGCACATCTACACAGAAATTGTCCTTATTTAGGGCTGGGAAAAAGGAAGACAAGCAGACAGAAACAACAGAGGGAAAGTAAAGAAGAAAGACCTACCAGTACCACCCTCCAACCATCCCCAAGAGACAGAGCCAGCACAGCTTTAAAATATCAAACTGTATTTAAAAAAGTACCACAGTTGGTAGAGACCGAATGCCTTCCTCAACCACAAATGAAATGTCAATAACAGTTCAGACCCATTATCCTTCGGCAACCTTTGTTTGCGTGGTTGCAAACAAGTACTATTGCCTATCTATAATAGCCTAGCATGGGCTCAAGTTTCATCACAAAAACAGCGCACACGTGCTGGGCATTATGAGGACCTTGAACTCCACAAACAGGGGGTGATTCATGGAATGTCAGACATTTGGCTGGTTCCCAATTATTTAAAAAATGTGTTTATTAAATTATGTTTTGATTTGGCAAGAACAGGATTCATTAAGAGATGTAACTTTCTTATTCTAACAACAGGTGCAAAGTTTCTTAAAATGATAATCTTCTGACAAGCAGTCTTGTTCCCAAAAGAGTATTAAATTTGCTGTATAGTACACTCGCCTTCAAGAGAAAGCTCCTGCTATCAAAAAAGCTGAAATGGCATTGAAAGCCAAACAGTCAAATCACATCCTATAGGAGAACTGTCAAGTCAAGGCAATACAATATAAAATAAAAATTTCCCTCCTAATAAAGTAACATCAAGCATAACAGCATTAAATATGACTGAGAAGACCAAAGAAATAAAATGACAAAACAAAAGAAAGAAAGAAAAGAAGAAAAATTAAGGGAAGAAAAGAAAAAAAAGAAAGAGGAAAAAGTTAGGGGGGGGAAATTACATCCATCTCATCCCCCCCCCGCATAATTCCCCCCCCCCCCCCTTCCTTTTTATACCTCAATATCTGACAGTAAGATGCACTGAAAAATAAGAAAGAGAACAAAAGTCCATAAAGAGTACCAACAGTGATAAACAGCTTTTGACTGGTCAGACATTAAAGATTTAAAAATGACCGTTACATAAACCTATCTAATCAAAAGTACACTTCATAAAGTCAAAAGTTTTATAGCATTTCAATTTCTAAAAAATATACACATATCTTTCAACCCTTTATTGTCTAAAGGTTTCCATTTCATCATAAAATTATTCACACAGGTAAAAGGCACAGAACAAAGATAAACTGGTCATACCATAAGCAATAGGTCAAGATAATAAAATATCTTAACATCACAGAAAGGTGACCTTCTTTATTTACTTACAGCAGTGCACATGTGACTCTCTCTTGATCTGTGTTCCAAACTGAAGAAAGAATTAAAAAGTAAGGTAAGGTAAGGTAAGGTAAGGCAAGGTAAGGTAAGGTAAGGTAAGGTAAGGTAAGGTAAGGTAAGGTAAGGTAAGGTAAGGTAAGGTACTTTATTGTGGGAGAATTTCTATGGCTGATCATGTATAAAATGCATCTGATTGAATCTGCCGTTTTATGTTTATCTCAAACCACATGCAGGAATTTATTGCAGTGATTATGGATATAATATATTTTACGCATAAGATAGAAAATTAATAGCAAAATACATTAACATTCATTTTGAAAGCAACAGATGGTAGAAAACTTTTGTAATACCTTTCTTTGTTGGTTTTTGGCGGTTATTATCTGGTTTACTTTGTGAATGATTGAATTATGTAAAAAAGCACATTGTGGCATCAGCATCGTTTCCTGAAAATGAAAATAACTCCACACACAAATTTTAAAACATAGCTCTAATAAATTCTTCTTTACATCATCTTTACTGGGCAGGTCAAGGAGTCTACTTTCATTCTGAGCTGAAAATTGGACTTCCTTGTCTAGCACAGAAATTAGGAGATGCTATTATGGCATAATACTCAAAAAATCCCCCAAATCCATACATCTTTATCTGATAATTATTTTTTATAACGACTGTCACTTACCAAAATGTCAATCCGCATCCATCACACTCAAATGGCAAGAAATCTAAAAATGCAAAATATAAAAGAGAAATCAAACACATTTTTTCAGTCTAGAAATCAAACACATTTTTCATTTGAACAACATTTTATTATCACAGTATAGACTCATATTGTAGGCCTACAAATTTGAAATCATAACTCCCAAGTTATTAAAAAAGGTGAACCACATGCAAGAATGAATTATCACTGGAGATAAGCTGTGGCAGTTCTTGCGAAAAGAGAGCTACAGGACCCTATTACTACTTGTTTCAAATCTGTTTAATCAACTTTGTTGTAAGGGGATTCAACAGTAAAGTTCATACAAACAGTTGGGATATTTTCCTCAAGCTAATTCCTACCTAAGCTTCTGAAAAAAAGTGCGATGTGGAAGAAAGGATCAGGGGGTAGACGAAGGGCCCGGCATTCTTTTTAAATTTAGAAACAAAGGATTGCTGGCAAGAGATGAATGCTAGAATTGATGACCAAGTGAAATGTCTGCAACCATACTTTGAAATTAAAAGCTTTTACTGAACAATGACATGTTATAACATGGTTGCTGCTATCCCTGTATTAGTACTGGAGAAATAGAATAAGGTTGAGAGTATCATGTGTGGATGTCTGACAGTGACCTCTCACTCTGTGTTAAATAAGGCAAACTCACAGTACTTTAATTTACAGTCAAAACTGTGTAAAACGGCCACCCATTGTCAAGGAGAAAAGTGGCCGTATAAGACAGGTAGCCGTCTTCGGCAGGACTGATCAAGATGAAGATAACAAAACATTCCTTTCTGAGGTCCCAACAAAAGGTAACCGCATTGTTGTTGTTGTTGTTATTGTTGTTGTTATTGCTGTTGTTATTGTTGTTGTTGTTTTCGCTGGGTTTTTTTCTCTTTTGTGCAAAGGTGACAATAAAACGAAATGTGTTAGACAAGGACGACCGAGTGCTATGGTAAAACAAACACATGGGTCGCAAGTTCAAGTTGACGTCCATTGTTGTTACTTTGTTACATTACAGACTGGCTAAACAGTGATCACTCTCATATGATTTGTGTACGAGTTCTGGGCGGCACTTACGGGTTATGAGGGATCACACTCTTACCTTATCACAACAGCTGAAAATTTGTTACTTTTATATTATTGGTCAACAGTTGGAGGGGTCAACTCGACATGATCATTTGGAGGGAACAACATTGTATCCTCCACAAGAACTCTTGATCTAGGGGCCTATTTCTTTTCCAGTTTCTTTTCTAGACCTAGATCTAGATCTAGAAATCTAGAAAATCTAGATCTAGTAGTAAAAAAAAGGAAGTGGCTATCCTCACCCAGGGTGAGAACAAAAATGCGATCGATCTCTTCACCCTGGGTGAGACTTGCCAGTGTCGATTCTCACCCGGTGTGAAACAAGACCTGTTTTTCCTAATTTCGGAGTACTGTCTATCGGTGTGGATGATCAAATTGACAAAAGCAAAAAAAACCAACGACGCTATAGCACGCTAATTTGACAGTCTACAATGATGCTATGGCTATTTCACTTTTCGGACAGTATCATAGGCTAGAGATCTAGATCTAGAATCTAGATCTAGATCTAGATCTAGATCTAGATCTAGATCTAATCTAGATTCTAGATCAACAAAGGGAAAACAAAGCCAATTTAAAACAAAATTATTACCCAGCTGGTTACAAGAAGAAAATCCACAGTTTTTGCCTATATGAGGTAGCTCCATCACTGGTAAGACACAGAACTTGTTTAATTGTGGGTAAATCAAAAAGATCTAGATCTAGAACTAGCATCAATCGATTTGAGACAACGTTGTTACTCTGTTACTGTATGAATCACTACTAAAATGAAAGTAATGCCTCTTTGCTTTATCACTACCGAACGAAATGGTTCTCTACAGCTTTATGGTAGTTCACCAGTCTGTAAATGAACAGATACACGTAAAAAAGTACATTCGCCGATTGCATTACAAATTCTATTATAATGATTTCACCCGTCCTTTTTTTTGGAATATAGGCCCTATTATGTCTGCCCTCGTCCTGTCACATATTTTTTGCAATAGTACCGGTAGCTTAGTGTACCCCTCTATCTCCTTTCTAAGTGCCCGAGGAATTGATTTTGTGTCTGCTGACATATGGAGCTATGTCATGCCTGAGGACCAGCATGAGACAAAAATAATGTAATGCTATTCTTTAAAAACAGAAATGTTCAAACATGTATGTCCCTGTGCTTCTCGCGAGAAGGTATTTTTTCTTGAGGGGGGGGGGGGTGAATTTTGTTGTGGATTACCATAATATTTGTTCTAATTTTATTCCAGGGGTCTAGTAATAGGCTACTGTTATTTAGGTGCAGTGCAATTAATAATGATGCCTCATTTAAGAAATTCTGCTTGAAGAATTTGAGACTAAATCGTGTCTGTGAAACATTGGAGAAACATCATTATTTCTAAAACGTCACGACACGGTGAAATCAGCCCCTCATCAGTTTTGGGATGTAAGGATCGAGTTATTGGTATCATCTTAAATTAAGAAGATAGTCAATTAAATGTCTTCAGCGAGCAAAGGAAGGGGATCGCCTGGTGTCAGAGGTAGAAACAGCGAGAAAATGGCCACCAAAGATTGGTGACTTTTTCCAAAGCTTGAGTGTCCTTGGAAACTGTAGGGCCTAATAATTAAATTATAATTTGTGTGCCTTTGATCAACCCGTTTTAGAAAAATACATTAAATAATGCGTTTTTTGAATAGACACTAAAGATGTTGAGCTTTAAAAAAAATCTTTAAAAATAGCCCAATGGAGGGAAAAAGGTTGATTTCTTATATTTCATTATTTTGACGAGAGCCTGATTCCACTATGATGCCACACTTATTCATCACCAGTAATCAAAGTATTATACTACGGCATGGAGCTCTGAGTTTTACATGAGAAACAATGTTAGAAGGTAAACTTATTATTTGAAATATCACTTCAGTCTTTTTTTTTTACATTGTTGTATTCACTTTTCCCCCCTTCTTTAGATACTCTTGTAAACAATAGCCAGGCCGTTTGCCTTCAAAGTGCAAGCCCCTTCCATACGATCCCTGATATTGGTCACTGAATATAGCTAACGGTAATTTTAAGCAACAGTCACCCATATGGTCGCTTTTACGCACATGTGGGCTATCCCGAAAAATGCCGTTTTGAGAAAATTGAAGGTAAAGTTTTTGGACCCTTGTTCAGTATCTTTAAAAGACTTGGAGACTTTTCTCTACAAGCAAACAAATATAGGCTTACACACCAATGAAACCAAACTTCTCCTATAGGTAGGGCAATGCCCACTTTTGGTGTAGGTCAAAATTTCTGGAAACCCCAAAAAATCTGAGTTAGCGCGCTTGTCTTTAAATTAAAAGCGACCATAATAATATAATCCCTGATATTGGTAACTAAATACAGCGTATCGCACTCCATGCAACAAAGTTACCCAATATATTGATGCCTTTAAAATGGGAAATAACTATTGTAGTACATAATGTTTAACGGTTATTACGTTCCCTCAGTGGTTCTATGACCAAAATACTGGGACTGAACCTGTAAATTACAAATAGTATCTTTTTGACATCGAAGAGGAAGATGGGACCGGCGAAATATTACGAGGCTCAAGGCACAGGACATGTTAGTTCCTTTATTCACATTCACGGGCAGAATGGAGCCACCCCCACCACCTCCTTATTTAAATTACATCGATCGACGGAGGTGTAAAACAGCTACAATTAATTATTATGAGCAGATCACCCAGATATATAATATATTTCTTATTAAGTTGAAAGTGATTATAAGACGCACACTGCTTTCAGTTTCTGTAAATGATTAATTAATTGCTACCACAGTAAGTACTGTAGTATATTGCTTGAAATTTATATTCGACTTACTCAAATTATCGTTTTAATTATATGTACTGAACGGAGTACATGCACTTTTTTCTTGCACAGTGATATCCTTTTTACAGCAGCCTTGAGTGTGCAACTCCCCTCTTATTGTCCAATTGAA